ATTGTGAGCTGCCCTGGAATCACAACGTGTTACATAACTCCGAGCGGCCTGGACACCCTATCGGCTCATCTCATTAAACCGCCCCGCACAAAATGACGCACTCACAATGTGATACCCCTACGTTGGGGAAAGGCGGGGGGAGCAGGGCAGGGCTTTGTGACAGGCATTTGGTTTTGCCTAAAAATTGAAGTCAAACAAAAAGTCTGCTGTTCACCTCGGCACTCGCCGGGAACTGGGGATGGAGTGTATTTGTCGCAGGCCGTGTGCCAAGTCATCTCCGGGACTGCACTTTTCAAAGCCACAGACTCTCCGGGATACTCCCGGCATTCTCTCCGAGCGGTTTTTTTCATTTTGGATCTTCCCCTCAATGCCCTTCGTAAGACTTTAACCTAGGAATGTTCTGCATCAGCTGACTGCACACATCTTAAGCCCGCAACAGTGCCTGTGTTTACATTCCTCTTTCCTGAGCCGCTGCCAAAGTGACAGCACGGAGTGCTGTTTCTCAGCCATGCTCTGGTGCTTGCTACAAGTGTCCCAGCGAAGAACCCCAACTTACCACATTCTATAGGGTTTGACGTTTCGGCATCGTGTTCTGCCATTTCTTTGCCCTCGATCGTGATGTTCAAGAAAGCAAAACCACCATAACAGACCAGATGTTCCCTGGATTTCTTTGGCATAGACACCAGCTAGACTCCCAAAGGTCAGTTTACATGCGGATGAATGAAGATGCAGTTGGGACATCACCTCCTCCATGAAGCACCCTCTGATCCTCCCCATGCCCGGCCCCCCGACTGAGGCTTTGCTGGGTGCTCTCCCGTGTGCCTGTCCTGATCACCGTGCTAATCACAGTGTACAGCCATTTTCCACTTACTCTCCCCTTTCCTCGACTAGACCATATTCCTAGGTGGCAGAGAACACGTGCTCCAGTCCCACAGCCCTGCACACTTAGAACTCAGCGAACTTAGCCGAGATGCTGACCCTTCTGTGAATTAGCTTCTTCACCTGAAAAAAAGGGCGAACAGTACCAGCTTCCTGGGGATGGAATGTGGTAATAATGAAATGACACAAGTCATGCATTCAACAAATGTTTACTGAGCACTGACCACATGCAGGTGCTACCTCATCACTGGGACTCGGTGGTGCACAAAGCAGTTATAGTCCTCGTCCTCCAGGAGTTTATATTCTACTGCAGGTTTGACAAAGAAAAAACACATGGTAGCTGAGAGGCTGGTAAGTCTATGGAGAAAAAATAAAGCAGGAAAGGGCGATGGGAAAGGTGGCGGGGGAGCACCCCTCACATGGGGTGGTTAGGTCACAAAGGCCTTATATGAAATGCCATTTGGACAAAGAGAAGAAGGAGGTGTGGGTACATCTGAGGAAAAGGTAATCCCAGTGTGGGAGCAACAGGAACCAAGGCCCTGAGGCTGGAAGCTCCTGGTGTGTTTGAGGATGAGCAAGGAGGCCGGGGTGCCTACAGTGGATGGCGGGGATGACTGGTAGGAGGCAGGCCAGCGGGGTGGGACGGCGCACATTTAGACCCTCATGGGCCACCGTACGATGAGAGCTCACTGGAAGTTTGGAGCAGAGGAGTAAAACAATCTGACCTCATATTGAAAAAGTCACCCTCATCAAACTGACAATAGCAACTTGAAAGTTCAGACAGGAAGCTTAGAGGGCAGTGACTTTATGTTAATGGGGGAAGAACAATTCGAAAAAGGAGGGTGAGAAAGGTTGCACAAGTTGAAGAACGTAATCAACATCACTGAACTGTCCATGAAGAACTAGCTGGCCTGGCATATGTTCTGCTGTGTATATTTTCAACGACAACAAAAATAAGTTACTTAAGAAAAAAGTCACCCTCATAGCTGGGTGGAGGACGGGTTGCAGAGAGGCAAGGGCAGAAGCAGGAGGCCCAGCTAGGAGGCCAGTGCAATAGTCCAGGCATGAGATGAAGGTGTGGCGTGGAGCGGGGTGGTTGCTGTGGAGCTGGTGAGACATGGCCAAATTCTGGACACACTGCAGGTAGAGCTGACAGATCTCCTGGAAAACTGAGATATGAAAGAGACAGAGGTCACAAACGCCTTCAAGGCTTTTAGCCCGGGCAAGTGGAAGGAAGTGCCATTCATAAAGACAGGGAAGATCACAGGAAAAGCAGACTGAGGTGGAAATGAGGAGCTCAGTTTTGGACACATGAGTTCAAGGTGCCTCTTAGGCATCTGTCTTACTCATCTACTGCTGCTGTAACAGAAATACAAGTGGATGCCTTCAAAAAACAGAAGTTTATTCTCTCACAGTCTAGGAGGCTAGAAGTCCAAACTCAGGGCATCAGCTCCAGGGGAAAGTTTTCTCTGTCGGCTCTGGAAGAAGGTCCTTTCACCAATCTTCCCCTGGACTAAGAGCTTCTCCATGCAGGAACCCCGGGTCCAAAGGACGCGCTCTGCTCCCAGCACTGCTTTCTTGGTGGTATGAGGTCCTCCTGTCTCTCTGCTCACTTCTCTCTTTTATATCTCAAAAGAGATTGGCTCAAGACACAATCCAATCTTGTAGACTGAGTCCTGCCTCATTAACATAACTGCTGCCTATCCCACCTCATTAACATCATAGAGGCAGGATTTATTTACAACACACAGGAAAATCACATCATATGACAAACTGGTGGACAAACACACAATACTTGGAATCCTGGCCTAAGCAAACTGATACACATATTTTTGGGGGACACAATTCAATCCATGACAGTATCCAAGGGGAAATCAGGCCTACAGGGGAAAGATCAGGATAAGGACAAAAGCTGAGGATGGTCAGTATAGGTGAAGATTTTAAAACCTGGATCCTAGATGAGATCACCTAGGGCATGCATATGAAGGCATTGGTAATTCAGTGGTAGAATTCTCCCCATTCACGCAGTAGACCTGGGTTCAATTCCCGGCCAATGCACCTCATGCAAGGCCATCACCCATCTGTCAGTGGAGGCTTGCATGTTGCTATGATGCTGAGCAGGTTTCAGAGGAGCTTCCAGACTAAGAGAGACTAGGAAGTAAGGCCTGGTAATATACTTCCAAAAATCAACCAATGAAAACCCTATGGATCACAATAGTCCAATCTGCAATCGATCATGTGGACAGCACAGGACTGGGCAGCATTTTGCCCTGTTGTGCATGGGGTCACCATGAGTCAAGGGCTGACTCACAGCAACTAATGACAACAGGACATGGGTATAGGCAGGGAAGCAAAGGACTGGAAGGGCTGACCCAGGGCCTTCCAAGATGCCCAGGCTGGGGAGAGGAGAAGGAGCAGCCAGAGAGGCAGGAGGAGAGCATGGGGTTCCAGAAGCCAGGTGAGGACTGGGTTCCCAGGAGCAGGGAGTGGCCAATGATGAAAAGTCAAGTCAGGGCAAGATGGAGAGTGGACCCGTGGACTTAACAAGGTCATCAGTGACCTTGCAGAAAGCAGTGCTTTGGCAGGGGGTGCCAAAGCCTGCTTGCAGTGGGCTCGGGAGAAGAGAAACTGGAGTGGGTAAACAAACACAACTCTGTCAAACAGGTTTTTCTGCTAAAAAGAGCAGAGACACAGAGCATTAGCCTGCGGGGAAAGCAGGACCCAGAAGAATTCTTGTTAAGAAGGGAGAAATCATAGCATGCTTTCGTCTGAACAGGAAGGAGCCTACGAATAGGAGAGGAAATTGATGCAGCAGAGAGGAGGCATATTGTTAGAATTGTGTCCTTCAGGGAGCAGGGAAGTGGGAGTAGGATTTAGTGCACAGAGGAGAGGAACACATATGGTTCACTCAAGGGAATGGGAGAGAAAGCATGTGCGGTGGGGGGTGCTCAGCACAGGGCTGGGCACCCAAGCAGAATCCCCAACCATCTCTGTGCCCCTGAGTACCTAAGACCCTCTTGACAGGAGGTCCTCAATGCTTAACTGTTGAGACAGAACAATGAGAAGCTATAGGAAGCAAATTTGCATATTATACACTGTCATCAGGCATTATTTCAAACAGGGGGGCAAAAGCAAAAACTGCAAACAAAACCAAGAAATACAGCAGACTTCTGTATGAATACAATTGGGTTTAACTATAATTATGCTATTCACTAAGGAGCCCTGGTGGTGCGGTGGTGAAGCCTTGGCTGCTAACCAAAAGGTCAGCGGTTTGAACCCACCAGCCACTCCTCGGGAGAAAGATGTGGCAGTCTGCTTCCATAAAGATTACTGCCTTGGAAACCCTATGGGGCAGTTCTACTCTGTCCTATAGAGTGACTATGAGCCAAAATAGGGTTTGGGTGTTTTTGTTTTTGTTTTTAATGCTACTCACTATTGTTATGCATGCCATCCTACACCATTTCCAATCAGAGCCCTCTGGCTAGCTAACTCCAAGCACCTGTCTCAGCGTTCCCAGGGAAACGATCTAGTAAAACGTGCTTCAACAGCAGATGCCGCCAGTGGACTAGGAGGTAATTATCTGGTTCCTGGGACACTGGGAAGGTGTAACTGATACAGGCATTTGTAACAACCCAAGTCTTTGCAACTCTTCGTGGTTTGTAAAGGGCAGCACAGGTAGTTTCCCATCTCTGCATCACATAATGCAAATATTATTTCCATTATCCCAACTTTAAGTCTGAAGAAACAGAGGGGGAAGTCATCAAACTATACTGAGCATCCACTCTGTACCACGTACGCCACTTGGGGTTCAATGTTACCTTCTGTAACCTTCAGGACAACTCAATGAGGTACTGTCTTCATCCCCATTTTACAGGTGGGAAAACTGAGGCTCAGAGCTCAGACAGATCAGTGTTTTACACAAGTCACAGCATTATTCCCTGGCAGAGCTGGTTGTGGATGCCAGGTCTCACAATCCCAAAGATCAGATACTTTGCACTCTGGTTCCCCACCCTCCTCCAGTCCCCACTCCCTTGGCTGCATCCTTCCCAAGTCCTCATCAACTGAAGCCTCTTCCCTTCCCTCCCTGCCCTCCCTCCCCGGCAGGCAAAGGGCCCCCTTACCAGTAATGGTGCAGGCATCCCGGTACCCTCTGAAGCTGGGAGCATCTTCCACAGCCTCGCTTACATAGTGTTCTTCAGGGATGCCCGGGCTGCAGGCTAGGACTGCATGGTGGCACACCTCTGAAGGGGACACGGGGCTGGCCAAAGCGTCGTCGTGCAGAGTTGTGGCGTCCAGCTTGGCAGGTTTCACAGGGAGGTGCCTACTGCCATCAGGGGTCCCGCTGCCGGAATCTGGGGCAGTCAGGCAGACAGCCCCGGTGGGTCTTGTGTACCAGCAGGGGCCCCTTACGGGGTATCTGTAGGACAATCCAGAGAGAGGGGCACAGTCACTTAGAGGCTCTGAATAAACCAAATCTTTAGAAAATAAGGGCCCAAGACACAGGTGGGTTCAGATTACAAAATCTGGAGAGGGTTCGCTTCAAGCAAAAGTATTTCCCAATCAAACGAGTACTTTGACAAAAGGATTTCAGTGAAGCTCCATTCAGCTAATCAGGTATCAGTATGGACCAAATTATGGAGCACACGGCTTCACTAATTTACTGAAACCTGCCCTGAAGCAGCTCTAAGCAAATAAACAAACCAGACTCCTGGTCAAACAACAGCTAAAACAATGATACTTAAGCTTAAATAAGGACACCCAGGAGACCTGGCAACCACACTGGGTGTGTGAGAATATTTGTGAGTGTGCACGTCTGTGAAACACACATGTTCATGTGTTTCTGTTGTTGTTGGGTGCCATCGAGCCAATTCCGACTCATAGCGACCCCCTGTGACAGAGTGGAACTGCTCCATAGGGTTTTCTTGGCTGTAACCTTTATAGAAGTAGATTGCCAGGTCTTCTTCCCACAGAGCCGACGGGTGGATTCAAACTGCCAACCTTTTAGTTTGTAGCCGAGTGCTTAACCATTGCACCATCAGGGCTCCTTGATGTATTTCTACAGGATGCACATCCACTTAGTGAGGTAACATCTTTATGTTTCTCTTAAACTCTTCCAACCACTTCACATTCTCAACTCTCTAGGAATTTAAAGGCATGCCCCAACCTGAAGCTGCAACAAGAGATTAGAGGACTCCTTTAAGAATCTGAATAAAACTATAGACCTTCCCAAAAAACACATACAGCTTGAAGAAATTCAGCCCATTCACAGGTTCTGTGAGAACCACAGCCAGCAGCTTAAGACCCTTGGGACTAGCAGATCAAGCTCCTTCTAGGGTCCATTCCGGCAACATCAGATTAACCATGCAATTCACACCACCATATAAAGTCTGACAGAATTGAAGGACATTGCTGGAAAAGGGATGGTGTACAACAGAGGCCAGTAAGGACTCTACGTTGCTCAGATACCATCAACTGTACATGCAGGGGGGTTCTCCACTCCTTACAGGAGAGCTTACTGCCATAGAAGTTAACCATAGTTTTTAATTCAGCAACAGCCCCTCTCCTCCCAACCCAGCTCCATGCACACGTGTGTGCATGTGTGAGACACACATATACACCCAGCACAAATGTTAAATGCGAGTTCAAAGAGCAAGGCAGGGAGCTTATGAAGCACAATAATTCTCAAAGTGTGGTCTGAGAACCCGTGGGATACTCTGAGACCTTTTCAGAGGGTCATGAGGTCAAGACTACTTTCTAAGACACTCCACGCTCATATTCTCAGGGACGTACAATGAAGTGTGATGATGCCACCACTCTGAAGGCTAATGGAATGTGTACATCTGTATTCTTGTGGTTTACATTTTTGCCAGTTTTAAGTTCTAATATAGCCTGTGCGACCAGATACAGCCCATATAAACAAAAGTTCTTTGGGTTTGGGTCTTCAATTATTTTTAAGGAGCCCTGAAACCAAAAGAGTTTTGAGAATCACTGCTCTAGTAAATGCTGCATTATGGTTTACTTTTAAAAAGGGAGGGGGGAGTTAGCCATTTTACCGAACATGGTACAGTCAGTTCTGAAAGAAACTGCAGCCCTGAGCCTGTGAAATTTTCTCCGAACAAAGGTTTATTATAAATGTTCCTATTATAAATGAACTGAGCCTAGTTGATAAACTTTCTGTCCTCCCAAATCCTCATTACAATAATCAAATAAATATAAAGACAGGGTGGGGGGCTGTTGTCTATCCCTGGTGGAAAGGTAAAGGTAACACCAGAGGCTTGGCACCTTCAGGAATTTCTGCAAGACAACACGTAGAGAAAACCCAGCTGTAACATCTGGAAGGTGACTGAGATGAAGACAAAGGGATAAATCAGCTGAAAAGAAAAATCTGGAATTTCCCAGCAGAACCCAACATATCTGGGCCGCTGAGGACGGAGAAGGGTGGAGGAGAACACCTTCAGAAGTGTACCAGTGGTGGCCAAGGAGCCGAGGGCTGGAATTCACCGGGCGAAGCAAAGGAAACCTGGGCTCTGGCACAGCCGACCTCTCGTGGAGCACAAGGGTGCCTTCCCCACTGCTGGTCACGTTCTGGTTCTTGGTCTGAATGCTGCTTACATGCAAATCCATCAAGCTGTATTCTTATGATCTACACACTTTTTTGTATCTATACTTTAATAGTAGAGAGCAGAATAGTTAAGGCAGATACTGAATTTATAAATTAGCTTGAAAAATCATCCCTAAACTACAAAGATAAAAATGCACACAGATGAGCGTCCCAGAAGAACCAATAAAGGATAAGACTAAAAGGAACAGAGTACACAAAAACATAAGCCCTAAATGAGGAGACCCTGGGTGGCACAAACAAAACAGTTAGGTGCTCAACTACTAGCCTAAAGGTTGGCAGTTCGAACCCACCCAGAGGCATCTTGGAAGGCAGGCCTGGTGACTGGCTTCCGAAAGGTCACAGCATTGAAAATCCTATGGAACAGTTCTACTCTGCACACACGTGGTTGCCAAGCTAACAACCAACAGCCCTAAATCACTACTATTCCTCCTTGTATTAACTGTTTCAATTTATAGTTGTCGCACCCTTAACCCAGAAACATATTGCTATAAAACGAACATTTCAAGTACATACAAGTACTTTCAAATGAACAAAATTTTGGAGACATCAGCAAATGCTCATTCAAGCCTCAAAAGGGAACACAAGCCAACAGTTTTGAAGTCCATAGTACACTTCAGATGTGCAGCAACTGGCAAAGCCTTCAAAAGCTTGAGACACCCCTCTTGAAGCAGAAAGACTTACCTTTCTTCATTAAAATCAAGTGGGAAACAACCTAAATTTGCATCAAAAGAGAAAGTTATAAATTATGGCACTTTCAAACTACTGAATTCTGTTAAAATGAGATAATCCATGTGCCTGGTACATATTAAGTTCTCAAAATTATCGTTATCGTTGTCCACTTCCAGATTCACAGAATCAGATACCTTTCTTGATTCTTCCATAATACTCGTATGCCAGCATTTCCAAAACTATCTCACTGTGAAGCCTTTCTCCACATAAAACTTATTAACATGGAATTCATTTCATGGAGCACACTTTGGGAAAAGCTGCTCTGTACTCAACACAACCTTCATCACGTCATCATTATTCATCCAGGGCCCATCATCCTATAAAATTGTGGGCATGGGCTGGTCCTGGCCCATATTAGGTACCAAGTAAATATGTAATACAGGACCACCCTTCTGTCAGTTTCTCGTACTGTGGTGGCTTGCGTGTTGCTGTGATGCTGGAAGCTCTGTCACAGGTATTTCAAATACCAGCAGGGTCCCCCACGGTAGACAGGTTTCAGCAGAGCTTCCAGACTAAGACAGACAAGGAAGAAAGGCCTGACGAGCTACTTCTGAAAATTATCTAATGAAAAGCCTGTGGATCATCACAGAACACTGTTTAATACAGCGCTGAAAGATGACCCCCTAGGTTAGAAGGTACTCAAATACAGTGGCCACGATGGACTTGAGCATACCAATGATCATGAAGATGGAGCAGGACCGGGCAATGTTTCATTCTGTTGTACGTGGGGTCATCATGAGTCGGAGCTGACTCGAAGGCAACTAACAATAGTAAACATTGAGGACTAAATAACAATTATTCCAATAAAAAAAGGCATTTAGTACAAATGACCTTGAGGGTCCCTGGAAGCTATGCAGCTGTTTCTACTATCCATACAGAAATCAAAAAAAAAAAAAAAAAACCTCATTGCCATCGAGGATTCTGACTCATAGCAGCTCTATAGAACAGAGTAGAACTGCCCATAGGGTTTCCAAGGACTGCTGACCTTTTGGTTAGCAGCTGAGCTCTTAACCACTGCGCGACCAGGGCTCCATACAGAAACCAGACAGTGTAAATTCCTAAATTACACCTCACTGACCATGAGGACTAACAAATCAATGCTCCAGGTATGCTGACCACAACTCACCAGCTCTCCAGGATGGCTCTAATTTAACCCAACTTAATCCTTTTCAGTACACACCAGTACACATCAAATGTGATCTAATGTTGAAATGTGCGTTAAGATGATCTGTATACAATTACTCAGTAACCAGGAAGCCTCACTTGCTGGCTTGCAAGTCTCTCACTCAGTTTCTAGCTTGAAGACAGAGTCATAACATGTGTCCTTGTGGGGGACCAAGCACTGGTGGAGAAAGAGGTGACAACCAGGCTGCTGCTGAATGCCAACACGCCTGCTGAGTCATGCTCTGAAAGGGACCTCAATAATTCCCAATCAATTTTCCAGAACCACTGTTTATCAGTGTTTTTAGTCATATCACATTTCTGCCAATTAACCCAAGATCTCTAAAAGCTCAAAGATCAGAAATAAGCGAACAGTCAGGTGTTCAAACTCGTAAGAAAAAGAAGCAAGCCACCACTGCAGAAGGGGTTACCCAGCACGTTATCCCCACAACCCAGAAGCTGCATGTGGGGTGAAAGGTAAGGTGCCAGGCTCTGGGCTCCCTGGCTGCTGAGACCCTGGGCGAGTTCCGGTAGGTCTCTGAGTCACAAAATACCTACATCTCTGAGACTGTTAAAGGGATTACTGACAGTGATACAAACAAAGGACTCAGCATAGTGCTAAACACACAGTCAACTCCCAAATGTGGATCACCCTTCCTCAAAATTATTCATTTATTGTCTAAGAGAAGCGACCTTTCATGTTCCTAAAAATGCACTATTCCAACACTGGTATTCTGTAAGGCGATGCAGACCTGTAAAATAGTAAGTTTTTACTGACCATCATGAAGATGGCACAGGATCGGGCAGTATTACCTTGCGTTGTACATACAGTCACTATGAGTCGGCACAGACTCGATGGCAACTCACCACCACTTTTGTTAAGATCATGGTGTGTGCCAGGCACCGTGTCAACGGCCTTGGAAGCTCTTTTACTACCCACCACCACCCACCCCCTCAGCTGGGTGCTGTTATCAGCCCCATTTTA